AGAGCACAAGTCTGCCCAGCCCATGGGACCAGGTCCAGATTCTGTATTCCCTGCCCCTTCCTCAGGTGACTTCCATGTGCTCTTGTCTATGGAGCACACTAACCAACTGGTTGGCAGAGTCAGCTGGGTGTCAGGAAGCCTGATGGGAAAACAAAACCCATCAATTGACTGCCTTTTGCTCCAGATTTCAACTATTACGTGGTGCCAGAAAGATACTGCTTCAGAAACTCCAGAGCAAGATGAACTAACACAGATCTTTTCAGAATCAAGGGAATGGAACCACAGAAAATTTCTGTATCTAATATAGCACATTGTTACGTACTTGTATACACAGAAAGGATGAAATTGTATCTGATCGATAAGACTAAGATACTGAATGATCGCCAAATTTAAGAAGCCAGGGTGGTTGAGTTTATCCCACGAACAGAGGAGAAGGAGAAAGTGCACGTCCTCCACTGTCCTATGCTGTGTTCGACTTAGAGGCATTGGACAGGAAATGGAATTCAACTTTTCCTTATCCACAGAGGCGGCCAGAGTAGACTTTACCAGACCCGAAGCCACCAAAGTTGTTTACAGGTAGTTGGCAAGGGTCCACACGCCCTTTGCCTCAGTGAGGAAAATTTATAGCCATCAGACCCAGCCAGCAAGTGTGGCTGGTGAACATAAACAAGCCCACTCATGACCTTGAAGAAAATGGACAGAGGGGTCATCCCATCTTCAGAGAGGCTCTGCCCAGCCCACAGCTGCTTCTCTCCAGAAGCAACCCCAAAGCAAGAAAGCAAAATTAGTGTTCCACACAGATCCAACATCTTCTGGCAATTTTATCCAAATTGATTGTATGTGCAAAGGGAAAATATATTCATCTGAATCCACCTTTTGCTGAATTCATGTTTTTCCATCAGCTTTGCACTTCTTTACAATGTAGAATGCTTCTTTTTGGTTGTAAAAATGGTTGCTTTTCTCAGATGCTTAAGAAAATATGTGTCTTTGAAAACTTCACACATTGCCGTGTGAATGCAAATAGTGCAGCCACATTGGGAAAGAGTCTGGTAGTTTCACTCTGTGTTTAACTGTGATCTAGCAGTCCCACTGTGAGGTATATATCCAAGAGAAGGTGAAAACACATCCACATAAAAACACACCCACAAATGTTCATTGCAACAGTACCCATAACAGCCCAAAGTGAGCAAACTCAAATAATCCATTTACTGCTGTATGGATGAGTATAATGTGGTGGGTCCATAAAATGGAATAGTATTCATCAATAAAAAGGAATGAAATACAGAAACAAGTGGGGTGAACTACAAGTTGAATGGCCCTTGACAACATGCTAAATGGAAGAAGTCAGTCACAAAAGACTAAATAATATAGAATTTCAAGTATGAAATGTCCACAATAGGGAAACTCATAGAGACAGAAAATAAATTGGAGTTTGCTGGAACTGGGAAGTTTTGGGGGTGGGAAATGGGGAGTGGGTGTGAGATTTCCAGAATTGGAAAATATTTCTATTGAATATATTCTAGAATTGATCATAGTGATAGTTGCACATACTAAAAGCCATTGGATTATACATTTTAAATTAGCAAAGTTGTGAATTAGCAAATATATGAACTATATCTCAATAATTTTTTTAAAAGTATAATTGGGCCTAAGTCTGTGTTGTCTGCTGTTACAGAAAACCACAGACTGGGTCATTTATAATGAACAGGAAAGACAATGAAGCAATACAATGTCATGTTTACAGACCCTGAAGGTTCTGGAGTCATTCTGCCTGGATTCCAATCTGGTCTCTGCTTCACGATGGCTGTGTGACCCTGGAAAAGAACAACCTCTCTGTGCCCTCATCTCCTCATCTGGCTCACCACAGCAGTCTTGGTCATGGTCCCCTGAATCTTCCACACAGAGTGAGGTTTCTAAAATCTAGACGTGCTGTGTCATTTCTCTGTTTAAACCTTGCTGTGATGGCCTGCAGGTAAAATGTGCACTCCTGGAAAAGCTATGAGGCCCTTCTTGTTCAACCATCTTCCTTCCTCCCTGCCATGGCTCCTGAAACACACACCTAGTCACAGAATGCTCTAGACAGGCACAAATGTGCTGTGCCATTTCACATCTCAGCTTGGCCTATGATACTGCTCTGCCTGAGCAGCTCCTCTTCTTCTCCACTCCCTCCTTTGGCTGACTAAATTCTAGTCCTCATCAAAAACTCAGCTCAGATATACTTTCTTCCTGAAAGTATTATCCGAGCTCCTGCCCTCAACCTGCCCCAGTTCAAGCCAAGCTGGCTAGGCATTTAGTCCCCAGAACACACTGAATTAGAACTGAGAATTTTCCATTTAAACATGGTGCCTGGTCCTAATCACCTCTGCATCCTCAGTATCAGCTATGGGGTTTTGACTCTGCATTGTCCCCTCCAAAACTCAAGTTGAAATCTGATTGTGGTGGTGGGTGGTTGGGAGGTAGAGCCTTTAAGAATTATTAGGTCATTTCATTAAGAGGAATTAATATCTTTCTGGTGGGACTGGGTTAATTCTCATGGTGGTGAGTGAGTGCTTGCTCATTCGAGACTGGACCCATTGCTGTGAGGAGTGGATTATGATAAAGCCAGGGTCCCCCTTGAGTTTTGTCTTTTCCACATACTCCCACTTGCCTGTCTGCCACGAGGCTTTTACCAGAGGCTGAGCAATGCCAGTGCCATGTTCTTGGGCATCTCAGCCTCCAGGACTGTGAGTCAAAGTAAACTTCTACTCTTCATAACTGACAGTCTCAGGTATTCTGTTATAGCAACAGAAAATGAGCTGAGACAGAACCTAACATTGTGCCTGGGACATGTCAGATGTTCGATGAATGAATGAATGAAAGGAATGCTAAATAAACAGCCCACTCAAATGATACCTTAAACCTTCACGATGGCCTAGGACAAACACTGAAACATTTTAGGTGGAAGCTCCTCTAAATACTCACCCCCCCCACCCTGCTAACACATACTTTGGATTGAATGTAGTGCATTTGGGTTTGAGTGGTTAAATATTGCTAAAGAGTCTCTAAGTTGATTTGGGATGGAATTGCCTGCTGCCAGGAAAAAGTACCATGTTTATCTTTTGAAAGATTTTTAAAAAAACATATTATACCACTATAAACAATAAGTCAGTTAAATAAACTGTTTAACTGAAATTTTCATTCTGATTACAAATGGATGGCACTGTGTTCCCAGGAGCGGACAGGCCTTTGTTTTAAGAACCCAAGATTAATGTCTGTTTTCACCAGTTTAATAAAACCATTTTTTCTCAACTTATAAGCCTAGCTTATGCTCCAAATAAAAGGTAATTTGTGGACAGGAAAAAAAGAAGGAAAGAATTGATGAACTAAGAAATTAGTTCTTCCCCATCACTTCAATTTTGATAAAAATTACTGTATTTTTGCTTTGGAGGAAACAACTGTGTGACCTCACAATGCACAGATAGTGGGCCCTACAAGGAGGGATTCATCTTTCAAGACCCTTGGGATCCCTGTAGGGACCACCTCATTTGAGAAGGAGATGATAAATACAGGAAATGTGAGGGGGAGAAAGGAAATACTAGGATGGAATTCTGTCAGAATGTTTTGAGGAAATACAGAATGAAAGAGCATGGGAGCCAAGAATATATAAGTCACCAAAAATGGGACAAGCTGATAATACTCATTGTTGGTAATGATGCAGGAGAAATGAGAACTCTCATGCATGGCATGTGGATGTGTAAATGAATAAAACGATTATTTTGGGAAACAGTTTGGCTTGCATCGTGACAGCAAACCTAAGATGCGATGTGTAAATCTACTTCTAGGTATTTGACCTGCAGAAACTCCCGAACATGTGGCCCTGGGGCCTTGTGCAAAGACATACCAGAGCAGTACTTGTCATAGCAAAAAAAAAAAAAAAAAAGAGAGAGAGAGAGAAAATAACCTATAATTCATCTACAGTAGAGAAGGGGACACTACACAGCTTTGGTACATTGATGTAGCTGAACCACAAAACATAATGCTGAGTGAAAAGAGCAAGTTACCAAAAGACTTGTGTGCTGTACGATTCCACTTACAGAAAGACCAAAGCCCAGCAAAGCTAAAGAGTGTGTTAAGATTCAGAATAGTGGTTGCAAAACTACTGGTCATGTTTGATACTGTGCAATCAGTATTCATTATTATTAGTCTTTAAAATGCAAAAATTATGAAACCCTCTTCTGCATATATTATTCACTTTACGAATTTTAAGGAGTATGTTTTTCTCTTTGTTTTTGTTTTTTTGGTACTGAGGATTGAACCCAGGGCCTTGCACTGGGGCAACCACTTGAGTCATGCCCCAGCCCTCGGAGTGATTCTAGAACAAACACGATAGTGAGTCAGAAATTCACTGGAAAGGGAAAGGTGTGAGGGTAGGAAAGGGAACCACATATCAGCTAAAACCAAAATGTGTTCTAGATAAAAATTTTGAAGTTTTATTCAAGGACAGAAAAAACAAGGGTGCTACTAAGAAAAGAAGGGCTCCATGCATGGTCATAAGCCCCCACCACCCCCAAAAGGCTTCCACTGCTCCTCTTTCCAGCCGGCCTTTAGGGCCCTACATGCCTCACCCCCATGCTGACTGAGCTCACTTGCCCAGGCTAATATCAGACGCTGTCTTGCCCCCATGAGGAGAGCTTATTGAAAAGCAAACATGGGGCAGCAGAACCAGGACACACATGGGGAAGAGTCAGCTGCTGCAAATGGATTTAAGACCCTACATCCGGCTGTGCCAGAAGAGCCCTCCCTGTACCTTTTGGTTAAATGACTCAATACATTCTCTCTCAGAAACAGTATTTTGATTTGGTTTTATGTTGTGTTGTTTTGCTTTCTGCAACTATAAGTCCAGTCTAACTCAGGTGGAAGGATAAACTTCTGGTAGAAAATCCCAAATCTAAGTTTTTACATATATATTTCTTAACTTTCCACACTTTATGACATTTTGCTGGTTTATTTTTGGAGCTCACCTCTCACCAAGGAGAACATTGGATAAATTTATAAATGTGGGGAAGACCAGGGTGTTCATGACAGGATAGGCATGGATAGGAACAAGCAAGGCGTCATCTCCCTAAAATCAAGGAGAAAACAGTCATGATAACTCCCCGAACACTGTAATTTCTAAAGACAAACGTGTAGATGCTTTATTTCTTCTCTCATTTTCTGTCATGAAAAATTCCTTAAGAAACTTCAGTGCTTAAGTGTACATTAGAAATAGTGAGTTTTCTTAGTTATAAACACAGCGAAGAAAATTTTAGGTACAACTTCATTGGAATAAAATGTTCACTATTACCCAGGAAAGCTAAAGATAGTAATGCCCTCATGTAGATATGAGGATAGTAATTTGTTTGCTTCTATTTAAAAAAAAAATTATAAGAAAAAACACTTTTTTTTTTGAGGTACTGGGTGTGAACTCAGGGCTTTTCACTAGCTAGGCAAGCTCTCTACCGCTACTGTTTGAGCCCCACCTCCACTTTTTTTTCCCCACTCTGGCTATTTTGGAGACAGGGTCTTACTTTTTGCTTAGGCCAGCCTCCATCATGATCATCCTATTTCATTCTTCCTACCATTGCTGGAATGATAGGTATGTGCCATCACACCCAGCTTTTTTTTCTGTTGAGATGGGGTCTTGTGAACTATTTGCCTGGAACTGTGGTCCACCCAATCTCAGCCTCCTGTGTAGGTTGGGGTGACAGGCACAAGCCACTGAGCCCAGTTATTGGTTAAGATGAACTTTTTGCCTGGGATGGCCTTGAATTGAGGTCTTCCCAATCTCAGCCTCTCAAGTAGCTAGTATTATAGATGTGAACTATCGGTGCCTCGGGTTAGGAAAGATGCTCTTTAGTGATGCAAGAGAGAAAGCAACCAGTTCAGGGTTATCCAATCTAGAAAGCACAGAATAGTAAGCAACTTATTGGCAAGAGTCAACAGCAATCCATTTCTAGTTCTGCATAATGTCTGATCTTGACCAAGACTTTTAACTTCCCCACGATTAGTCCTTTCTTTGCAAAGTGGAGACAATCATATCTTTTCTCAAAGGTAGCTAAGAATTAAAGCAGATGACAGCCCTAAAAAAGTAGAAGTAATGTATCCATGTGAACTATGACTATAAGCATTATTAACAGTGATACCCTGTATTTTATTCAAAGTCTATTTTAGGAAGTTTCCTTCTGATGATCATGGAATATTCCTCCTGAAAAAAAAAAAATTCTGGCCGGGCACCAGTGGCTTAGGTCTGTAACCTTAGCAACTCAGACAGATAGTAGGAGAATGGGAGTTCGAAGTTAGCACAGGCAAACAGTTCACAAGACCCTGTCTTGAAAATACCCAACACAAAAAAAGACTGGCAGACTGGCTCAAGTAGTAGAGTCCTGACAAGTGTGAGGGTCTGAGTTCAAACCTCCAGTACCCCCCCAAAAAATATTCTGGATAACTTTTAGGCTTTTTTAAAATTTAAAATTCCCAAAACATAACAGTGGTTTACCCATTCTTAAGGAAATGTGTTTCTTGTTCTAAAATGTTTTACTGTCTAGGGTTTAACATTCTTTCCCTCTCTCTGTGATGATATTGGAGTTAGAACTGAGGGCTTTGCACTTGCTAGGCAGGTGGTCTATCACTTGAGCACACTCCAACCTCCCACCTTTTTTATTTTTTTCCCCCCTGTGGTTTCTTTTGAGATAGGTTCTTCCTTTTTCCCCAGGCCAGCCTGGACTGGGATCCTTCTATTTTACACATTCTATTGTAGCTGTGATGACAGGTGTGGACCTCTACCATCAGCGTTTTTTCTGTACAGATGGGGACTCATGAACTTTCTTGCCCAGGCTGCCTGGAACTGAGATCCTCCTGATCTCAGTCTCCCAAGTAGCTGGGATGACACATGTGGGCCACTGGCACCTGCTGGGAAAGCATTTTTAATGTGATGGTGTAAGTCAATAAGACCATACTATTCCTTCATAAAAACTAACTTTGCAAGTTTTTATGCCTTTTCAAAAATGGAAAATCAAAGTAAAATGTCTTTAAGAGAAGTCACCTGATGTACACATGGTAAATGATAAAAGCATTACATGAAAAGGCAAAAAAGGTAACTCTTCCATTGTGTTTTTGAAACATTAAAGATACAGTTAACTTTGAAGCTTCTTGTGTTCTAGAACAGGCCTGCAACACGGAGAAAGGGAAGGTAGAGGTGACATTTTTAAGAGAATTGACAGCACTCAGAGCTGGCTGGAGGCCAAAGGGCGAATTAGGGGACCTAGGAAAGTTTCCTAAGAACTCACACTTCACAACCACCTCTGAGGCTGCCTTTGTGGCAGTCAGGCTCAGGGCTGCCTTGGTGGACCCAGGAGGTATAGGACAGTGGCCAGTGTTTATAATCACAGCTTGGGCAGTTGTTAATTTTTTAGCCTAGCACTTGAGCCCACTGCAGTTGTTTGACAAAGCCTTCATCAGCTCCCAGCACCACAGGATAAATGAGGGTTTGGCACAGGCAGTGGAAGACCTGCAGCACACAGAGTCTCTGGAGCAGCCTAACGCCTTCCCAACCCAGGTGCACCACACCAGGCAGTATCTTCCACACCAGTTGGATGGGGTACCTGGGGAACACCCGGTACTGGGCAGAGGCAGCTCTGACTATTCATTTTGTCTCTCTTCTTCCTCCTTGAGAATATGTGTTAAACCCTCCCCCCGCCCTGCCGCACAGTCAAAAGCAACTTTAAGAAACTTACCTTACAGTGAACACGGATGCAGTCATAATAGTATCGCCACTCATCTGGAGAAAATGTTATGGTGACTATGAGGGACAAGCCAGGGACGAGGCGGTACTCCTGGAAGGTAAGTGGGCTGTTGTCAGGTCAAGGCCTCGGCCTGGCACACCACAGGACTGTGTGTAACACGCTGCGCACTTGTCCAAGCAGGCCTGAGACAGAATGTCACATCCTGCCAAAGAGCACCTTGGGGACAGCAGGTGACCTAAGCTATTTACCTTTTTCTCATAGCTGATCTGAAAGTATCTGGTCTGTGGAGGTAAAATATGAACGCTTGTGTCTTCATCAGAGATGTTGACCAGGTGCTGGGCAAGAAAAAGACACATTTAAGAGTTAAGACATTGGTTTATGTTTTGCATATTCATCTCCTTATGCATTTATACCATCTTATTCCTAAGGGGATTTGAGGAGACATACTTTTTAACTTTTTAAAGACTTGAACTACCTCACACACAACTTAAAGAATAATAAACTATGCCCATGTGCCTACTGCCCCCGCCCCCTAGAATTATACCAGAGCCTGCAGTCCCCAAGGGCCAGTGCAGGAATGGTTGTTCCCATGCTCCCTCAATCCTGAATGGTTACTGTGTGCGCTGTCTGTTGAACTCAGCTGAGAGGACAGCCATCACTCCCATGGGCTCCTCTACTTACATGTGACTGGCTCTGGGGCCAGAGGACATTCAGAAAATCAGGAAAGGCATGGATCTGGGTCAGCCTCCTATGTGATTCTGTCTGATCTGACAGCCATTAGAGAAGGCCAGCTCCATGAGGCAGGATGGCCTAGGGGTCACATTATCCGAGTCTCTGAGGAAAGAGGTAGGTTTCTTCTGCTGAAGAGGGAAGCAAGAATTTTGGGTTCTGGGGATCTGTGCTTCACTGGGACCAGGAGAGGATAAAGAGGCCTTTGGTTCCTGACATCTAGGGCAGAGGCCTCACCTACACTGGGACTCCAGAAGGCCTGTTGACTGAGGCCCTGTGTTCATGGGAGAGCCTAAGTTAGACTTCAGATGTGAGCTCTTGATGAGGCATTGGAGGTGTCTGCACAGAGGTGGTGTTTAAAGTTCTTAGTTACATGGGAACGTTCTTAAAGTACCACAATTTTAACCTTGTTTTGTTGTGTTTTCTTTTTAAGAAAATATGCTAAAATTCTAATGATAATAGTTTCCCAGGCCTTTCTTGACTTCCAAAAGGCAATACGGAAGGGATGATCTTGGTGAAGGTGGGGCTCCAGGGGCCCAGCACACACTCTCTTTCAAGAGAAACTGGGAGGACAATTGTGCTGGGCTTATCACACTTGGAGCCGTAGGGTACAGGGTCTCACCTGGGGATAAACAGGTGCCATGGACCTGGTAGACTTGACCTCCAGCCCCATGCTTGTCATAGGGGCAGGACTGTAAAGACCTCAAGCTGGGAGTTGAGGGAGGACTGGGAGCAGAAGTGGTTCTATTATCCATCATTTATTAAAAGTGATTCAGCAAGGACAGTGTACCAAACACTGATGCACGAACTGGTGTTAGTGAGTCTCGGTGTGGGGAAGGGAATCACATTCTGTGCTCAAGGAGTGTTCAGTGGGCACTGAAGGGTCTTTGTCTAGGGCCCACATTCTAGAAGCAGGGCCCAGGGATACCCAAAAGAGTGGGTGCTGCAGGGGCTTCTAGATTAGCAGAAGAGGTGCTAGAGATACATGGATTAACCGGAAATATTACCCTGGTGTTCCACTTTCAACAAGAGGGATATGAGAGAATCTGGAGAGACCAGACGCCTGATGGATTGACACTCAAAGGCCCCCAACGATCTTAGATCCTGTCTTTTGCTCTTTTTGCAAAAAACTTTTGTCAGCCAGCTGTTGCATCACTGCCAGCAAAGCGTCTGCTCTGAGCTACAGCCGGGGCTTCTGGGAGATTGATTACAAAGGCACCAGTCCTTCTTGCCTGCCTCCTGAGAAGACTGCACACGTAGCAGAGCTTCTGCCTTTATTCCAAATGATTGGGATCAGAAGTGTCTCATATTTTGGATTCTTCTAGATTTTGGAATATTTGCACACACATAATATCTAAGGGATGGAACACAAGTCTAAACACAAAATTCATTATGTTTCATATATATTTTATCCACACAGGCTGAAGATAACTTTATCCAATATTTTAATAATTTTGCACAATGACACAAAGTTTCATAGTGCGGAATTTTCCATTTGTGGTTTCATGTCAGCACTCAAGAGGTTTCGGATTTGGGGATGTTATACCTGTGTTTGTTTTCATTGCTGCAGACTACCTGGTAGCCAGGTTGCCGGAGAGGGGACCTATGGCTCTCACCTCCTGAAAATGGAGATCTAACCAGAGCCTATAGGCAAGAGGCTGACTCAGATTTGTTTTATTATTATTATTATTATTAATTATGTTGTGCTGAAGATGGAATCCAGGACCTTACATGTACTAGGCAAGAGTTAGGACTCTACCACTGACTCCTAAGCCCTGACCCAGAATTTGATTTAGAAACTTGACCCTACATCCAATCTGAACAAATCCAAATACATTGACTATGGCTCTGACCAAGAAGGAGGCATTTCAGAATTTATGAGATGATATCTCATTGTCAAGTGAGTAAAATAAAGAGATAAAAAACAGAAGATGATTTTCTTAAGGGATAAAATAATACAGATCTCACGTGTGATAGTAAAAGATACATTATTTGGTTATATTGAATTTAAGTAATTCTTGATTGAGAATTATTTGTTTGGATGAGACAGAAATAAGAAATAGCAAACTCAAACAAAAAATTTAGATATTTAGGTAAAAGCAGTGTAGGGAGAGAAAGAAAAATTTCAGTTCTTCTGGAGCTCAGAAGTGAAAGAGACTAGTTAAGACTGAAAGGCTGGGCACACTGTTCTACATGGGAGATGGCAGAGAAGGCTGCAACAGCCTTTAGACAAGCCCTTCCTCCCTCTCTCCCTCTCTCCCTTCCTCTCTCCTGCCCTTCCTTCCTCCCTCCCTCCCTCCCTTTCTTCCTCCTTTCTCCCTCTCTTCCTTCCTTTTTTTCTTTTTTTTTGAGACAGTCTTACTATGTTGCCCAGACTGGTTTGAACTCCTGGGCTGAAGCAATCCTCCTGGCTCGGCCTTCTGGGTAACTGGGAATATAGATATTACGTGCCTCTGTGCCTGGCTCAGATAAGAACGTTTAAATCAAATGTTGACTAAGACAACTCCAGGGGACATGGTGCCAAAGAGATTTTTAAATAAACTTGGAACATCAACAAAACTTAACAAACTGACTTCCAAAACATATTTGGAAGACTAGGGAATCTATTTATTTTTCAGTTCTTCGCTTTGGGTTGCCAATACCCATTGTTTGCTATAATTGTGCATATCCTTGGTCTTAGTAAAGACTGTGTGGTTCAAGCACTAGGTTGACAGAGAGGTCATTAGTACAAAGTCACGATGACTTGTGGCCCACAGCACAGAGTTGGGTCTCCTTCCTTCTGTAGAGCTAAGTGATCTCTTCACCCCCTTCCCAGTCTGTCTCCTGCTCCCTCCCTCTCAGTGTATTCTTCCTCCTCTAATGTGAAGAGCAGAACCTGCTTCCAGGGGAGTCTTGGCCTGGGATGGGTGAGGGGTCATTCTTCTACCCCAAGCGTTTCCCATGGATGAACCAAAGACAACATTTCAGCCTCCAAGTTGGGGTGTCTCCTCAGCTGCTGCTCCCCTCAGTGGCACAGCTCTTCAGAGATTAATACTTTATCCAGGGATCTGAGGCCAAATTCTAGCAGCCCTACATGTCCTGAAGGTGATTTATCTTAAAATGTATGTTGCTCAGTCTTATGCTAAAATTTTGCTTTAATACTGCATTTCTCTAGACGCAGAGTAAAACTCACACCCTAGAAGCATGCACTAAGTTTGTATTGTGTCTTCTTTCCCATCCCCATGCATCAAAGAGAAGCCATTGGAATTTGTGGCCCTAATTTGGAGAAGCAAGATCCTGGTTGGGGAAGGGACATCCCTAAAGGCTGCAATATGGAGTTGAAAACTAGTATTATTTCAGAAATCTGAAAAGAACTATCCATTTATTTAAGATAAGGTTTCATAGGGTGACAATTTTGTTTGAGGTTGGCAATAGCAACACTGGTTGTCTCCTAGGAAAATTGATGGATTATCTACTTAATAAATAAAATTTCCCAGGCAAAATCTTTCCACAATGCAAGGAGTTTTAGTTTTGAGAAAACTGCTGACTGTTATTTCAAACTTTAAAGTAACTTGAAGCTCTGTTTTTCAATATGAATCCAAGTAATATGTTTCAAATCCCTTAACTAGATCTCGATTGATCTCAAATGTTAATGAGCAATTTATTGTGATTTTAAATACACATTCAATTGGTCCATTCCTGGGAAATTTGCAGTTTCCTATAGCAAAACCAAGAGAAGAGCAGAGTTGTTGGCAAGAATGTCAAGGAAATCGCCTTAGACTTCCGCTCAACTTTGCTTGTGGAAATAGGAGGCGGGTTCTCCCAGGAGGCTCCAGAACATCATGAAGTTGAAGTCAGTTTGTACTTCAATCTATTTCTGTTTGCGCTTATGCTGATAGGAGCAGTATGACTACTTAGACTGCACACTGAATTTACTCGGCATTAGTGGCCAAGTCAACCTTGTCTTAGAAAGTGAGTTTGATATCATTCTTCCACAAGTGTGAGCCTCCTGCCCTGTACCCACAGAGGTGGAAAATACCCCAAAACTAGTAACAAAAGTTATAAAACATGTATCATAAACAATAATTGTGGGCTAATATTAGGATTGCCTTATTCCCCCAAATTGATTCAATAAGACTCCTATCAAAATTGCAGATGTTTTCTCAGAAATTGACAAGCTGATCCTAAACTCACATGGAATTACAAGAGACCCAAGAATAGTCATAGTGATCTTAAAAAGATGAGCAAAGTTGGAGCACTTTCAATTCTTGGTTCCCAAACTTGCCAAAAGCTACAGTAATGAAGTCTAATGGCATTAGGATATATACACAGATCAGTGGAGTAGAAATGAGAGTCCAGAAGCACAGTCTTACATTTACATTAAGTGATTTTCCACAGAGTATCAAGATAACTCAATGGGGAAAAATAGTTTTCAGTAAAAAATACTGGCATATGAAAAGATTGAAGTTGAACCCCCTACCTCACACAATACTCAAAAATTAAAGTGAACTGCATACCTGTATTTAAAAACTAAAACTCTTAGGAGAAAACATGGGTTTAAATCTTTATGACCTTGGATTTGCCAATGGATCCTTGTGCCAAAAGTACAAGTAACAAGACGGCGGGGGGGGGGGGTACCCAAATAAATTGGACTTCATTAAAACTTTTGTGCTGCAAAGGACACTATCAAGATAGTTAAAAAAAAACAGCCCACAGAGTAGAAGGAAATATTTGCAAGTCATATCTAATAAATGACTTATATGAAGAACCCATAAAAGTCAACAGTAAAAAAACAAACCACTTAACAATAAATGGGGCAAGGGATTTGAATAGACATTTCTCTAAGGAAGATACAAGTGGCCAGTAAGCTCATGAAAAGGTTCATCCTTAGCCACTAGAGAAATGCAAAAATAAATGCAGTGATTTGAATAGTGACCTCCAAAAGGTATGTCTGCCATTTAATCCCTGATACTTGTGAATGTGACTTTGTTGAGTGAAAGGTCTTTCTAGATGTTAAATTAAGGATTATAAAATAGGGTCATCCTGGATTACCTGGATGAGCCCTAAATAGAAGAACAAGTATTCTTTCCAGCAGAAAAGAAGACACAGGGAGACAAAGGGAAATACCAAGTAAAGATAGAGGCAGAGATTAGAGTGATGCTACCATCAGCCAAGGAATACCTGGAACCACCAGAAACTGGGATCTTGGAAGCAAGCACAGTCCCCTGCTGACACCCTGAGTTTGAACTCTGGGCTCCAGATATGTGAGAATAAATTTCTATTTTTTGAATACCCTAAATTTGTGAGAGTTTGTTATGGCATTTACCTGAAATTTATATACTATATATTCCAACAATTCCACTGCCAGGTATATACTCAAGAGCATTAAAAATTTGTTCACATAAAATATGGTCATAGCAGCATTATTCATGACAGCACCTGAAGTGGAAACAAACTAAATCTCTATCGACTAATGAGTGGATAAATAAAGTGTGGTCTATCCACATGATGAAATATACTCAGCCCTTAAAAGGTATGAAGCACTAATTTATACTATAAGTTGTACAAACATGGAAAACATTGTACTGTGTGAACAGAGCCAGTCACGTCAAATAGCAGACCACAGGTGGTAGGATTTCATGTATGTGCAATATCCAGAATAGGTAAATCTAGAGAGACCGAAAGTAGTTAAGTGGTTGGTTGCCTATGTGGAGGTGGGGTAAGATGAGGGTGTGGAGAGTGACTGATAGTGAGTACAGGGTTTCTATTTGGGGTGATAGAAACTTTCTGAACCTAGATTGTGATAATGCTTGCACAAATCTGTAAATCTACTGAAACTGAATTGTATGTTGCAAATGGGTGAATTCATGATATGTGAATCATATTTCAATGTAGCTATCAAAAAAGAATAATAGATAGCTGGTAGCTAAATTCTATTTTAGCTTTTGGTGTATATTTAACTTATGAACAGTGAGTAATTATGAATAGTAACTGTTTTAGATCTATCCTACCATAAGTGAGACCTCAAACTTCAACAAAGAAAAGTAGACTCCAAAATGAATCCTTAATGCTAGTGTTTGATGCCATGTTCTCAGAGTGCATCCTTGGAAGTTGGTGGGGGAAGTTCCTATCCATAGTTTTAAGTCCTAGTCCTCTTCTTAAGAATTAAAACTTCAGGGCTAGTGGAGTGGCTTAAGTGGTAGGGCGCCTGCCTAGCAAGCATGAGGCCCTGAGTTCAAACTCCAATACTGTCAAAAAAAAGAAAGAAAGAAAGAAAGAAAGAAAGAAAAGAATCATACTTTTCTATCCTGATCTGTCCTCTCTGGCCCACTTCAATACTCGGACTCAGGGACACTGTGTTTTCCTCTTTGCTGGGGACAGCTGGACAGAGATCTCATTTCACTTCCTAACAGCTTCATCACAGGCTCGTTTTCCTGCAGTGACTCCCCACTCTGAATATCTAGCACAATAATCAGAACTCTTTCTTAAAATGGTCCACTCTAAGTCATGAATCCTAAGAATGCACTACGTCTAAAGTAGAGTCTCACGGTAAGCCTCACCCATGACTCATTACACATGAAAGCAGGGACTCAGAAAGCCTGCACGGAAAGAGCCCATCTCTGCCCCACCCCAACACAGCCCAGAGGCCAGTTTGGCCCAGATCTAGGGCCCAGGGAAAAGCAGCTCTGAGATGTCCCGTTTAGTGTCACTTTAGGGGAGCATGTGAGGTAACTAAGTTCGGATAAAAGATTTACATATGTTTTCACATATGTTAGTACAGATGGGATCTTGGTCAACACCCAGGTAGTTCAAGGAAGGGGACCCAGAAAGACTGGGTCTTGATGTGGCTCTGAAGTAAACCAGTCATTGGAGGCTCTGGCTATTTTACAGCCTGGCCTTTCATCTGTCTCTGGAACCTGATCAGTGGAGTGACCTCTGCCACCCTAGACCTCACCAAATCTTCTTGGGCCAGAATGAGATTCAGCCATTGGCATGTGACCCAAGCAAGTTAAAGGGAGTCAAGTCCAGAACCTCCTAGGAAAGGAATACCCCTTTCCTGGGGTTGGAACCAGAGTGGATTGGAGGAAGACAACCCAAGAATCAAATTCTGACCCCCAAAGCACAATACCTGGCCCCTCCCAGTCACTCAGCAGGGACACCTATGTGGAAAGAGTGCTGGGAAAAACCTTTGGCAGAACAGAATGGAAATAACTTGTCCAGGGACACTAACGCAGCATTAAAATTTCTCGTTATGGAACTGTCTTTCTGACCCAGCACTTTAACTGTTTATGCTGCTCTTTAGGTGAGTGAGTAATATAATTGCAAAACATCCATGTCATTTTATTATTATGATTAATTATACCCCTTAAAAAGTATCTATCAAGAGAGCCAGGTATGGTTGTTCATCCCTGTAATCCCAGTCCTCTGAGGCAGGAGGATGACAAGTTCCAGGCCAGACTGGACTACACATAGTGAGATACTGTCTCAAAACAAAACAAACAAACAAACAAAAAAAAGTACCTACCAGAATCTGTCGGTGCTGTTTTTCTACTTGATAGCCTCCAAAATGTACTATGCCAGGCCTTGCTTGGATGACCTTATTATTCAGAAGCTTGGCATAAACCTCTATAAAAGCAAGGTGGATAAGTACATCGTGAGACATCAGAGTGAATATTAAATTAAATTAGATTCTATTAACGTGGGCTCTGCTTAATTTAGGACATTTTAAGACATGAAAGTTTCAGACAGTGGACACAGCTGTCAATAAAATTCATTATCTGTTCCAAATAAACTGGACTGCTTCTCCCTCTCTACTTTTTAAATTTTTTTTTGGCGGTACTGGGATTTGAACTGAGGGCCTATACCTTGATCCACTCTACCAGTCCTTTTTTGTAATGGGGTTTTTTGAGATAGGGTCCTAGGAACTATTTGCCTTGGCTGACTTCAAACCGCCATCCTCCTGATCTCTGTCTCCTGTGTAGCTGGGGTTAGAGGTGTGAGCCACTGACATCCAGCATTTCTGTACTTTTGAGCATTGCTTAGGAGATGCTCCTATCACAATACAAATTCAGATCATGTTTATTACCTATTAAAATAACTTTCTCTTCATACATGCTATACTAATAAAATACCAACTCATAAAGGCCACACACCCTGTCTTTGCTTGAGCACTGAGATTACTTATTGTACTATAAGTACAAAGTATGCAAACACCAAGTATTTAATTTTATTGCTGTCTTATTTAACTTTTGCTATTTGATTTCCTCAGGATAGCATTACAATGTGATACAGAGTCATCTTGAAGCTCTGAGTGTCACATTGGACAGTAAAGTCCTGAATTGCTTTTGTTGTAATGAGAATACTTTGTTTAAAGGTTTAAGGACAAGGTGAAAATAGCTGAACTCATAAAAGTGGCCAGATTTGTAAACCTTTTCTCTGTTCTTTATTTAGGCAGAAGGGGAAATGTATGGAGAAGACACTGAAGCCTCACCACATACTCCTTTGGATGCCTTCTGTGTTTTGTGTCAGGCAGGGCTCTGCACACATTTGTTTATAATCTTCACTTCAACCCCATGACCTATTATTTCCACTGTGCAGAGGAGGGAGCTGAGACTCAACAAGGCTGAGCAACTTGCCCACAGCTGGTTGTCAAAAATCAGGTCCCTATCTGCAAGATTCCGAACTCTAAATCACATCCCTCAGAATGTCTAGTATCTTGCAAATGATAACCTTTTTACTTTGGCCATATCCAAATCCCATGGGCCATAGACACCCATAACTCATCCTTTCACCCACAGGTTCTGGACATATTTGGAGGGGGGGGTGAAAGGTGTGGTGGTGTTTTCTTTCACCAGGTAAACTGTCCCTGTCGTCAGCTTGAGGCTAGAAAAGGGTAAGGATAGTATGTTGGGGACTGGAGAATCTCTGTAAGTTACTACTTGTTTTTTTTTAAGTGCTGAAATTACCAATATTCAGTAATTTTTTGGAGGGGTACTGGGGTTTGAACTCAGGAGCCTCATGCTTACTAGGCAACCACTATACCACTGCAGATATACGTATAGCTCCTTTTGGTTTACAACTGCTTCAGGTAGGGTCTCGAGTTTTTTGCCTGGGCCTCAATCCTCCTATCTATGGCTCCCATGTAGCTAGGATGACATGTGTGTACCACCATGCCCAGCTTTTTATTGATTGAGATGGGGTCTCACTAACTTTTTGCCTGGGCTGGCCTCAAACTACCAAGATGCTCCTGATTTCTGTTTTCCCAGGAGCTGAAATTATAGCTGCAAGCCACTGCACCTGGCTACTAGTGATTTTTTTTTTAATGCTGAAATTTTTTGGTTTTCAAGTCGCAAAACAGAGTGAAAACTAGTATATTTCTTCTAATGCCCAGAAATGGTCAAGTATGCCAATTTGAAATTGACATGCTTTAAGGTAACAAAAGTCACAACAAAGTATGACATTTCTAAGATTTAAGATGGGGTTTAAGGATGAGTGAGGGGCAACCAAGCATGATGTTGAAGAACTAGACATGGGTCTAGAGAAATCACGGGGCCTCTCCAAGTCTCAGCTTCTCCAACAGCAGATGGAAATAGAATGGGTAAAGGTAAAATGAGAATAATTCATACAAAATAATTAACCTTTTCCATAACAGCCAGAGGATTTCCCAGGTTTTCCAGGCCTAGTGTATGATGGGGGCAGACAAGGAAGTATGAAATACCCGTTCTCTGAAGGAGCTGGGAAACTTGATATCGCTGGAGCTGGGGATGAGCACAGCACAGCTCGTGGATGATTCTGTGCGATCAAGTTCAGCAGGCAGCAGAGGGCCAAATGCCAAGCAAGGGAATTGTGACTTTATTCTGTATGCAAGGGGAACCACTGAGAGGACTGGGGGAAGATGGAGACAAGCGTCAGCCAGGCTTCTAGAAAGGGAATGAGAGGGCTAACAGTTCCCAGTGATCTGCAGAGGGTAAGAAACGGGCAAAGTGATGGATAGGAAAGATATTTGAGGAAGTGCAAATAGTAGAAGGTGGTCACTAATTTACATTGCAAAGTTCTACCGTTTAAGAAAGAACTACTGTTTGTGATACTAAAGACATTTATGAACCTATAAAATGATATAGATAAGGCAACAGCAAAAATTCCATTATGCCTTCTGGACTTTGGAGCCCCTGGGAAGACGTGAGCTATAAAGCAAGTCTGTTTTCTGATCACTCACTTGACTCCAGGAGGTGATTAGGCACTTCTGCTCTTTTCTTGGGCTCCTCCACTAGGCTCTTCAAAAGGACAGGTGATATGTTATTAAAGTGTTCTTCTGCATTCTTTAGTTCTCGGCTGGGGGTTTTCACTGCTGCCATTTTATCATGAAAAATGGCGTCTTGCTTCTAAGAGCCAAAGGTCATTTCCTGGGAAGAAAACAGCAGTAGCATAATCATCCATAAGAAACCACATCCATACTTTTTCTCAATTCTTGACAAAAGTACCTCGAGCCACTGCCTGGCGTACTGTAGTTCAGGGCCTCCCTGTCTCTCATCTCTGTTGGCCACTCCTTTCCCACACATGGCTGCCCCATTAATCTCTTATATCACCTAATATGGTGGCATCATTCCAAACCCTTTCCCTGTCTTTAAAAGCTGTCCCCAAAATGTTCTCCTGAGATTCTTCTTGGGAAAAGATTCATGAAGGGATTCGTGAAGAGAAAAATAAAGGCTCTCACAGTCAAATTATCTCAGAAAATGTTGCAGTAAATAGGATTCTTCTTTCTAAGATAGCTCCAAATCAGTTTCATATATGTGTGTGATCATGGATCCCTTCAACATCTGGATTGATGTTTCAAGACATTGCCTTTGTAAGTCACCTTCCTGTTGGGAGGTGATGTAGACGTGGTGAAGGCTACAGTCAGCTAGGTATAGAGACCTGGGGACACTCTTGGGAACTCTGTGTGAGACTTAGCTTAAGTAACACTCTTTGTCAGACTTGCTTTCCCTTCACATGCTGAGGAATTGTCAATTGGAATTTGAAGTCTGCACTGGTCCCAGCACCCCTTCACTTTCTTTAGCAATTACTGCTTCTGCTGCTCATCTGGTATTAATAATTTATTGCTTTGTAACAGCACTTTACGAATCTCACATTTCCTTAAGTCTCTTAACGTGTGGGCTGTGTAAAGCCTTGGGGGCTGCCCTTTGTAGGTCCTGAAATTGAATGTAAAGTCACGTGTGCATGTTTGTGTATTTTGGTTTTGTTTTTTTTTTCTGACTAAGGCTCATAGCTTTCAAGTATCAAGAGTCCATAGCATCAAGTGAAATACAGTGAATACACTGAAGGAAGTGCTTAACAATCACTTTCAGAAAGAAATTTCTGCTGCTTCTCCTGCTGCATCCCCTCTCACTAGCATTGCTGAAGGCTGCCCACCCACTCTTCAGCACAGCCTCTACCTCAACTGCTTCACTCACTTCCTGCCCTTCCCCACCTGTCCCAAGTTCACCCTCCAGACCCTTCTCCTCTCGGTCCCTCACATTTCCTGCCTGTACTTCAGGCAGGTACAACAGTGAAGTTTTCATGCCAGCTCGCCCACCAACATTGAACTTGGCCTCACTGTTACACCCCACACACCTTAGCCTCAGCCTTATCCTCTACTAAATTGGCCCCTCACCCTATCCAAACACCTCCTCCCCTCACTGACCTTTCACCCCACCCCCTACTAAGGCTATGTGGGTGGGATCGATTCCAGGCCCACGCACCACTACCAATCTCATTTAACCCTTTGGGCCCAACCTCCTCTCCGACCCCGGCCCAGGCTGACTGGGCTGGACACCTGCCCAGAGTTCAGGATGCCTCAGCAGCTCGGTGGCGGCCACTTGGCCGACGCTGGGCCACCGGGGTCCCTAGCTCCTTGGCTCCTCACAGTGATGTTCCGGGATGGGATTCGGCTGGAGCTTGCACCTGCTCAGGGCGTCGCCATGACGACGCAGACGCGCTCCCAGGGCTGGCAGTCGGACGCGACCAAATGCCCCAGGACGTGGGGAGAACCGGGTGAACTTGGCTTTGGGAACGCAGGCCGTGGGTAACTTCTGGGGACTCCTAGCAGCCTGTGGAGCCTTGGCAAGAATGGAAAGCGCTATTTATGATGTGAGAAGCTAATGGATTTCCGAAATGAGAAAGTCGGGAGACACCATAAACAGGAGACCGGCAAGCGCCGATCCGCGGCGGGGCGGGGCCGCGCAAGCGCAGAGGGTGGAGCTCGTTCCCGGACGCCCTGCTTTTTCGTACTTTGCTTTACTTTTTCTCTTACTGCAAATTTCATACACACGCAAGTGTAGGCAGAATAGTATGATAAACTTCAACGCCTAGCTGCAACCATGATCGTATCATACCTTTCACCCTGTACCTTTCCCTCCCTGAAATATTTTGAAGAAAATCCCAAACATCATCGCAACCACAAATATTTAAGAATATGCCTCCAAAAGATAAGGACCCTTAAAAAACAAACGAACAAACAAAAACCTTTAAAATTGCAGCATTGTCTTAACATATCTAAATATCCAGGACTGCACTCAAATGTCCCATAAATGGCATATTTTTCTCAGTGTTTGGCAGTTTAAATCAAAATTTAAATACAGTAAAACCCAGATGCTGGGATAGACTGTTGTCTTTTAGGTATTTTTTAATCAATAAATACCCCCTGCGTGTCTTTTTGTAGTTGCTGCTGCTGCAATTTCTTCATTGAAGAAACTGTTTCTGCCCTTGATGCTGATATTGAGGGGTTTTATAAGCCAGAAACCTGGCAGCTCACCTGCCCTCTGCCCTGTGAATTCCACACTGCTAATCCACAGACGTTTCTCCTTATAAGGTGGCCTTTGATAGTATCCCGCTCAGCAGCTGTTTTTTTTTTTTTCCTCTCTCTCTCTTCTTCCCTTGCGACTTGACATTTGCTTGATGTTAGTAACAGCTTTAGGTTAAGGTATTCTAGTGGCCTCCAATGGAGCTACCTGCTTTCCTACATGGTCACTGGTGTGCTAGATGTACCCCCCTCCCAACTGGGAATGTTAATTTTTTCCCATCTTCCCATTCTCCAATTCCCCCCTACCCACCATCATTACTACCTATTTGAAATCTCCCCATCTTTCAAGAGTAGTGCTGGGTAAGATTCCCCATCTTTCTAACTTGCAGGCCAGAAGGACTCCTTTTCCTCCCCTGGACTTCCATATCCTTTGTACCACCATGTTTCTTTATAGTGCTTATCTCTTTCTATGCTGCACCCATCACTATTTGTGTATATGTCTTAATCTGCAGAGTTCTTAGTAGGAGGGCACTGTGACTTATCATTGGATCTCTCACAGCCCTTGACACGGTTTTTTGTCTATAGCAATGACTCAGTAACTGTTGGCTAAGGGAGTGAAAAAGTTCATTTACTTATCAACAGGTTACTTTCATTCTTTCTGTTTTGTTGCCCCAACAAGGTTGTAGTTTACAGGTGAACAGGTACCAGGTTTCTTGTGGCCCCAGACCATACCACCCCAGCTCAAACCATGAGATGTTTATTTCCATATACTATTTAATGGGCATATACATTTATAAATTTGTACTTAATTGTTTTCTTAGGAAAAATTATTCTCAATTATATAAAGACAATACATTGGTCTCCTTATAAGCAATTAAGCAAATCAAATGTCATAACACATGGTCACTATTTGTCACTATCTTTCAAACAGAACCTTGGATTGTCTCAGGTTTCTCCCCAGTTCCCCAGTTCTAACAGCAGACCCCCATTAATGTAGGCCAAGCAGGAAATGCTTGATTGGTTTGGGGCTGGGCATGTAACCCAATTGTGGCCACAGAGACATTAGGGGAAGGCTTTTGGGAAGCCTTAGAAAAGATGCACATGGATAAAGGAACTTGCTCTGTCTGGACTTTGTAGTGTCTGGAAAGAATTCCTGGAACTGCTGCAGCCATCAGAGGCCCCAAAGGGCACTTGCATTAAGGGATGGGAAAGAAGGAAGATAGGAAGAAGATCCTGAGCCTGGGGCAATCATTTCACCTGTGGTTGTTTGGTTCTTGTATTCCATTATTTCCTTTTTGCAGCTGCAAACATCTGACATACAATGATTTCCAAGCCCTCACTACTCAAAGTTCGAGCTGTGGCTTCAGGAGCCGGTTAGGAATGTGAGTTTTCAGGGTAGGCTGGATCTAGCGAATCAGAAGCTGTGTTTAAATGAGATTCCCTAGGAAATTTGTACGCCCATTAAAATTTGAGGGACATTATGGCTGTTTGATCACAGGCTGATGAATCCACTCGTGTGTGTAAGCCATGTGTGCTTAGCGTTCACGATGAGCAGGACATAAAGGTGTCCCAGGCTCTACCAAGTGAATACAATGGGATGAGCGTAACAATGAGCATAGAAGTCACAGCTTATTAATAAGCTTGGTAGAACGGGGGAGCCGTTAATTTCCTTGCTTAAACCTCCTCAGTGGCTTCACATTTTACAGAAGATAAATTCAAAGTACTTAACATGGTTTCAGGGCTTGGTGGGACCTGGCTGCTGGCCTCTTGTTCCACCTTCTCCTCATTCCACTCTACTGTGCTCCCCTGATGGGGGAGAGGTGCTAGGCTGGCTGCAGAGCCTTCCGTACTGCTCACATGGTGAAGTGGGGGCCCTGTCCCATCCCCCTGGATCTAGGTGAGTCTGTGAATGCTTTCACTGCTATTCAAGCCCCACCTGGATTTCTGACTCCAACATTTGTGGATGAAATAAGTTAGAAGGCATCATGCTAAGTTTTGGGATTGTAGGTTATGCTCCAACCATAAATAACTAGAAACTTGACTAATTCCTAGCTAGCCTGAGGACTTGCCTCATAGGGTTTCCCTGTCTTTCTGTCTAATCAGGTCCTGCTCTATTCCCCTCTCTTACCATACTGTGCTCTCTTCCTTCACAGCTGCCTGAGTCCAATCAGGCTGCTGTAATAAATATACCTTAAACTGGGTGGCTTAGAAACTGCAGCAATTTATTCCTCACAGTTCTGGAGCTGGGAAGCACAAGACATTGCACCCGCACTGTGGCTGTCTGATGAGGACCCACTTCCTGGCTCACAGACAACACTTTCTTGCTATGTTTTCAAATGGTGGCAGGAGGCCTAGGGCCTCCTTTAATCCCTTCACAAGGGCTCTACCTTTGTGACCTAATCATGCTTGCAAATCCCCAATGCCATTACCTGGGGCTGTGGTCTCAACATGTGACTTTGGGGCACACATATTGAGGCCATAGCCACTGGGTTTACTTCTTTGGCGTGTTTCTCCCATGCCACAGTGATGATTGACTGTGATTGGTTCACTGCTGAGCAGATATCACTGTGAACACCGCCCAGTGCATGCTGGGATCTCAGCATCCTTTGTAGAGTCAAGTCAATGAGTTATGCCAGAGATTTCTTAATTTTAAATTATATACATTTATATGCATATATGTATATATATTTGAACTATGGATAATCATATGATTCAAAATTCAAAAATCAAAAAAAACCTCTCCCCATACCTCTGCCCTATAGCCATCATATTCCTCTTTCCTAGACGTAACTCTTTTACTAAATTTGTCTCTTTTAGGGATATGCTTTATACATATACAAACAATTGTATTGTAAGACCTTTATAACTTGTTTAGAAGTCCAAATAGCTTACTCATCTGACCCTTCATTTTTCACTTAAGAATACATCTGAGTGATTGTTCTATATCTGTGTATAAAGCAGCCCTACATTGGTTTTTATGACTGCATAATATTTAATAATTTAATTATGCAGTCTCCATTGTTAGGTATTTAGATGTTTCTAATCTATGCTATTATAAACATTGTTATTCATACAAGTGTGTGTGTCATTTCTACAAAATTGTGCATGTATCCATTCACATCCCTGTGAGTATATCCTTAGGGTAAGCTCGCAAAGTACAAGTGCTTTTGATCAAAAGGTCTGTGAATCTGTGATATTATCAAATCTGTTATTATCAAATTACCCCTATGAGTATTACATTAATTTCTACTCCTAATGGTAACACATGAGACTGTCTGTTTCCTTATGGCCTCACTGAGTGCTAAAACTGTCAGGTGGCCAACAAATTAAATGCACTGAATTATTTTTAACTTTACACTGATGCTGAAAGAATGGTATTATTTTCCCCATTACATAGATGGGAAAATCGAGGCCTAGTGGGCTGAAGGTCATGGGGTTAATTGTTGGTTAAGTCAGGATTTGAATTCAGTGTTGACTGTTGCCAGAATTCTTTTCTTTACGCTAAATGCCTTACCAGGAAGAAATGGGGGGGAGCCTGGGCGGGTGGTGTGCACCTGACCTTTCTTTGCTCCGTCCAGTGAGATAAGGTCCCTGTTAGCACTAGCAACATTATCTTTCAGATGTGGCTTTATTTGCTCTCTTTTATTTGATCTGCTTTAACTATAATATTTCATATACATATTCAAAAAGATACTGACAAATGGAAGAGGGAAATATGAAAAGTAAAGAAAACTGCTTTTTTGAGAAAGCAGGTCCACATTTCCAGAGTGTAAACAGCGAGTCTGGACCATAAAAACCTCATTAGAATGTCAGCAGTATACCTTTGTGCTTCAGGACTGAATAGCAAATCACTCTGCCCCATTATTTATGTCTCATCAACAATACATTAGTTTGGCTCCCACTAAAGCTGACATTCATGGGAAGACAGGTCTCTGTGTGTGGTTTATTCCATTCCTGAAGGGGCACAGCATGTTCTTTACACTTGTGTGGCCATTTGCTGAAGACCTTAGACTCAGGCACCCAAAGGCAGTCAACTTTCTCCCACCCCAAGGCTCTTGCTCTCACACCCCTACACCAGCCCCTACAGCTCAAATATTCTCAGAGAAGCCTTCTGCAAGTGAAAGTCAGGGCTCTTTCAGTTGTAAGGATGGAAATGGATTCAAAAATTTATAATGTTCAGACAGACAGACAGACAGATGAAGGCTTCAGCTATAGCTAGGTGCAGGATGCTGGTGTCAGGATTTGACTTTCTCCATCTCTTGGTTCTTTTCATTCCAAG